GGGTATGCCATGTCTCGAAAGCTGTTGAGAGCAGGGTATTATTGGTTAACTATGGAGTCTGATTGCTTCAAGTACGCCAAGAAATGCCACAAATGTCAGATTTATGCCGACAAGATTCATGTGTCGTCGTGTCTTTTGAATGTCATGTCATCCCTGTGGCCTTTCTCCATGTGAGGAATTGATATGATTGGAAAGATTGAGCCAACTGCATCCAATGGGCATCGTTTCATCTTTGTCGCTATCGACTATTTCACCAAATGGGTCGAAGCAGCTTCTTATGCCAATGTCACCAAGCAAGTTGTAGCCCGATTCATCAAAAGGGACATCATCTGCCGCTATGGGATACCTGAGAGGATCATTACCGATAATGGGTCCAATCTGAATAACAAGATGATGAAGGAGTTATGCCAGAATTTTAAGATTGAGCGTCACAATTCGTCTCCTTATCGTCCGAAGATGAATGGCACTGTGGAAGCGGCCAACAAAAACATTAAGAAGATAGTACAGAAGATGGTTGTGACTTACAAGGATTGACACGAGATGTTGCCCTTTTCTTTACATGGATACCGCACCTCGGTGCGTACTTCAACTAGGGCAACTCTTTTCTCGTTGGTATATGGCATGGAAGTTGTCCTGCCATTGGAGGTCGAGATCCCTTCTTTAAGAGTTCTAGCTGATGTCAAACTAGATGAGGCAGAATGGGTGACGAACAGGCTAAATCAACTCAGTTTGATGGATGAGAAGAGGTTGGCGTCTCTTGCGTATGGACGTCTGTACCAAAGCAGGATGAAGAAAACCTATGATAAGAAGATGCATCCTCGAAGATTTCAGGTAGGTGATTTGGTGTTGAAGCGGATTCTCCCACCATAGAACGATCACAGGGGAAAATGGACTCCCAATTATGAAGGCCCGTATGTTGTAAGGAAAGTCTTCTCTGGAGGAGCCTTGCTAATTTCAACCATGGATGGTGAAGATTTTACGTCTCCTGTGAACACAGTCGCAATCAATTAAAGAGAAAACCTTTGATTAGTCAACCTAATTACTATGTCCATAGAGGATCGCGCTTGAAACCAAGCATTATTATAACAAGAATTTATCTGGTTACTGTAAGGTATCCCTAGTCCTAGGTGATATCTATTACAATATTCTCAAACAAATCATATACAATGGCGATCCAGCCTAATTGTTTCACATAAATCAGACTCCGTTTGTCCGACAGAGAAAGCACTAAGAACGGTTAAGAAAACAATTTATATATAAGAAAATAGCATTGTCATTGCACTCATAAAATTGAATCCATTACAATCAAAATCAGGGAAATTGATAAAAATAAAATACAAGATGTAGACATTACAGTTACTAGAATGAAATTGGATTTTCAATTGCTTCCGATCATGAAAATCTCCCTTCACCTGAGCTTCTGTGCTTTTCAATCTTTTCTCTGTAATTTTTCTCGTTCTCCAGTCGTCCCAAAATCCCCTTGAAAGACCGCTTAAATAGACCAAATCCTAATAATTGTAAAATCTCGCTAAAAAAGGAATTTTTTGAATATTACATGCATGGCTGCTACGGGCCATAACATGTGCTACGGGTGGCCTAGTAGGCTACTGGACTTAGGTTTGGTACAAAAGAAACGAGGGTGTCTGTCTGCTATGGCCCGTAACATGTGCTACGGGTGGCCGTAGCAGACTACTTATATCTTCTTTCTTCCTCTGTTCCTCTACTACAGCTCGTAGCATGCACTACGGGTGGCCGTAGCAGGCCAATGTCTTAATGGATTATTCCTTCTTATTCTTTGCGATTTCTCAAGGCGTTTTTGTCAAAATCCTTCTTAAATCTTTATTCGAACCTAAAACCAGTAAACAAACACAACCAAAGCATAAAATGCGGAAAATAAAAACACATTGATGAAAAACAGTGAACAAATTAAATAAACTTACGGTGTAAAAACCACTTATCAGTGACCCCTCTCGAAACGTAGTAAGGTTCATCATATCCTGCCTTCTGCTCACGTCCACACCCCCAAAATAAACTTTCCACTTTGCTAGGTTGAGTTTAAGGCCAGTGGATGCAGAGAAAGTTTTGAAAGCCTCAATCTTAAGATCAATCGACATATAATCTCCTTTAGAGAATAACAGCAAATCATCTGCAAAAGAAAGGTTCGTAATGTGAAACTTCTCACATTTGGCGTGATGGTTAAAATTAGGATTCTTCTGTATTTGGTGAAGGAACCTGCTCAGGTATTCCATTATAATGACAAATAAGAGAGGGGGATATAGGATCCCCTTGTCTAATACCCCACTTGGCTTGGATAGCCCTCGTATGATGCTCATTGATATTGAATTTATAAGTAACAGAGGTGACAGTAAGCATAATCCACCTAACAAACTGGTTTGAAATTACTATCTCCTTCATTATACATTTTAATGTATCTCAATTAACTATATCATAAGCTTTTTGGAGATCGATTTGAATCATACAACAGGGGTATCACCTTTCCTAGAATATCCTTTTATCAACTCATATGCCAACAGAATATGATTATGAATATGTTGGCCCGTAACAAACGCAACCTGAGAGTGATGAACAATATCACCAATAACCTTGTCCAATCTAGTAGTAAGGATTTTCAAAATTACCTTATATACAGTGGTACATCCTTAATCTTTAATAGTACTAGCATCACCGTGTTTCGGAATAAGTGTTACCACAATACCATTGAGGGCTTTGAATAACGGCTCATGGTAAAAGAAATCCTTAATTGTATTTACCAAATCCTTAATTGAATAACCGCTGTTGATTATGCAGAACCAGTTTGATGAATCCTCTCAAGACGAGTTATAGTCGCATGAGTTTATTCCACAATACAAACATAGTGTTGTCTGCAAGTGGTGTGTTCCAATTATCCGCAACTAATGTATCATAGCCTTCAAATTCCACAATGCAGTTAGAACTTGAAGATTGACATACTAAACAGTCTTGGTTCGGTACCTGTTAAAAAGAGTAAAGAATGGTCTGATACACATGGAATAATATCGTGAGAGTTGTATCAATATTCTGCTGTAGCCATTCAATATTTCCCAGGACATGATCAATATGAGAATAAATTGTACCTTCAAATAAAATTTTTGTTTGAGTATTTTTAAAATGTTATTTTAAATATTTTATTAAAAAAATGGATATTAAAATTTTAAAACTTACTTAATTTTGAACCTATTTTTAATAATTTTTCATAAAAATCAATTTTAAATTTTAATTTTTTAAAAATTTATAATTTCGACTATATTTTAATCTTTATATTATATTAATCTTTATGTTATAGAATGTCAAAATTAATTTTTTAATTTAAAAAAATATATAAAAAATTTATAATATTTCGAAAAACAATTTTATAAAATCCATTATTTAAAATATAGAAAAAGATTAATTTTTTAAAACTAAAACAAACTATTGTTCCCACGATAGTTCTCTTTTAGGTCATTTTAATCCTCAAATCCATTTTCAAACAATTAATTTAATTCTTGAATGTATTTTTCATCTCAAACATTTAAGAACTAAAATAATTTTTTGTAAAAATTTTACGCATGTAATTTTAATTTTTATTATTTTTTAAAATTTTGAAAATTATTTAGTTGAATAATTATTTTTTTCAGATTACCATAAAATGTGTCTTTTTCAAATTATATAGTTTTTTAAAATATAAATTAAATATAAATTTTTTTAAATTTAAAAATATAATAATAAAAATAATAAAAATCTTGATTTATAAATTAAATTTTCAATTTTCTTATAATGCAAACTATAACTATTTTGTTGTTTTTTAAAAACTTTAAAAGCTTTTTATAACTTTCTGTAAATTAAAATAAGTGGATAATTATTTTGTATAGACTAAAATATGTTATTTTTTATACAAATCAAAAATAAAATTTAGTAATTTTACAAGAAAAAAAATCATATTTAACCCTTTCAAATTGATTATAATAACTAATACATGTATTTATACTTTGAAAAATGGATAACTTTTTGAATAATTAGTACGAATATTTTATGTATAACTTTATTAAAAGTTGTTCAATTTATTTACAAAAACTTGTTTAATTTGTAATAAAACTTATTGAATTTAAGTCCATCCCATTTTATATATAATTAAAAGCTAAATATACTTTTATCACTAAATGTACTAACTTCCACTTTAGTTTCAATTTTTTAATACTTTATTTTAAAATTTATTCCTTTAAAAATATTATTAATTTAATTATTTAATCTTAAATTTAATAATTCAACTTTTAAATTACCATTGTAGATAAATTAATGAATATTAAATTGTTAAATTATAAAGTGATACTAAAAATATTTAATATCTTTTGAATAAAGAAAAGTCATTTGAAACATACAGTCCTATCTAAAATTTTGTTACAATAGTAACAGAAAATTTAAATTTAAAGAGATCAATTTTAAAATATTTTTAGGACTAAAATTATAAACTTTATAATTAATGCTGCTATTTTTTTTCTTCATATTTATAGCCCCCTGCTAAGAATTTATGTCGGTTTCCATCCCGTACAGCTGTCTCAGTTTTAATTGAGATAGTCTGTTCCTATAATTATTAATGATTAAATGTAAACAAGTATCAAACAGATATTTGTCACTCATTTACTATCGACGTTTACTTATTGACTATTGTTTGTGATATACCGACCATCTTCGTGACAAGCTTATACCATAAACCAAGAAAGAAACAGATTGTAAATGTTCTCGTCCTCCTCAAAATCGATCTCAGGTAAACTACATACAATGGGACACAGAATAAGTCTCCATTTTGAAAATCTCATAATCCTTCTAATATATAATAGGGTCGTTAAAACAAACTCAGATTAAGTAACTAAAAGTCTCCATGTTGAAAATCTCCCAGCAATGTAGACGTATGTTAAACAATCATCAGAAGGCGTTGTTGTGGGAGGCTAGCTTACTGAATAGATGGTAGAAATTGCAACTTTAATTCAAGCGTATGTCGACAGGATGTTTTTCTTTAGAGTGAACTCATCGGCCTTAGCTGGGCTGATAGACTGCATCAATCATCACAGATAATAAGTGCCACGATTATGAATTTGTTAACAACAATTTGCACACTTGCAAATAAAATATTACCTTTTCAAGTATGCGCTCTAGGCGCTGAATTTCTTTCTTAGCATAATCAGAACCTTTCTCCAGGTAATTCTTGGCAGTTTTCAAGTAAATCTTCCCGTATCTAATGGAAAAAAAAATAGTTGCATTATTGCCTCTAGTTTTTGGCTTAAAGTATAAAGAATAAACAGAGCAAATTAAACTATTCTCAAGAGGCATAATTTCAAGCCAATAACCATCACAATATTATGAAAGGATGATGTTAGATTTACCTAGAAGAAGAACCCTGAAGCTTCCCAACCTCCTCTTCTATTTTGGCAAATACGGCCTTCTTCTCTTCATCATTAGCAGCTACAAACTCCTTTACCAGCACGTCCAAGTTCTCTACTATACCAGCCTATACAGAAATAGAGTGTGAGCAGAATGTTAAGTGCAACCATTTTGAATATTTTCACCCCACAAAGAGAACATGTTCACTGCCACCAATTTTTTTTTAAACAAATGAGAGAGAGTGAGGGTACTTCTCTTTGATAAGAATTCACTAACCTCAGAAGTAAGCTGTCCTTTTGAATCACGACTTGTTCCAGATTTCTCATTGATAAAAGCCACAAAGTCATCTAAGTCTCTACCACCTCCATAATCTTCGCCGGCTTTATTGCCCTTTGGGAAGAACTTCAAGGTAGGAAATCCACTCACATCATACCTGAGACAAAGTTATTCCAGAAATCTTTAATCAGTTATTTATGATATTGAAGTTTTCCACCTCCAAGTCTTCACTGGCTGCAGCTTTTGTCTTGTTAATCAATATAATAGCAGTGTTAACATTTATCCATCTGTTTAGGTTCCTACATTTTTTCTTCCTGCTATATAATATTAACACCCATATCTGAATAACATTGAAATATATCCCACCACATTATGCAACACATATATTGGTCGGTACGCCCCAAAAAATTTCACTTCAATAGGACTTCTCGCTTTAAGTTTGATTCCTTCGGATCAAAAACTAAATTTTTAAGATTAGACAACTAAAACATACTTTTCAGCCAGGTCTCTATATTTGTCGGCATCCAAATTTGCAATCACTACATCGTCCTCCGATTTAAAGGCTGCAGCAACTTTTTCATAAATCTGAAGGGGAAAAGCGCACAGCCAAGTTAAACATAGCTCTTTCAAAAAATAAATGCATCAATTTTAAATTGATAAAAAGGACACTGCAATGATATTAACTTACAGGAGCAAGACTTTTGCAATGTCCACACCTGGCAAAATAACAAAAGTTTGTAAGATATAACAGTAAGCACTCAACGAGAGAATGAAACTGCAGGTCTAAAACATTACTAACTAACAATAATTTAATGCAAAAAAAAAAAAATAAAGCATAATTAGAGATTAACCGACAATCTAAAAGTTATTGGTGAGTAGTGAGTACCATGGTGCGTAAAACTCAACCAAGACATCTTTGGTTTCATCCAAGACAACTTCGTTGAAGCTTTCAGGTGTTAGCACCACTACACTAGATGGAGCTGTAGCAATCTTTACATTAGTTCCTGCAAGACAAAACCTCTGTTTAGGAAATCCACTAGTACAATTGCAAATAAAATACACAGAAGAAGAAAGGGGGAAAACCAAATCATGCTCAAGTGTATGCTCAACACCGCCATAGAAACTATAAAAAATCAAAGTGTGCAGATTTTGATGATTTAGGACAGGGAACCTAATACTACTTTAGTATCTCAGAGTACTATGCATTAAAATATTTTTAAAAAAGTATATATGATGCTACAAAATGGATTTTTCTCTTTGTGATATTTCCGAGAGGCACTATAGCAACAGATGGCTTTAAAACTACAAAAGGTACCTGCTTCTGTATTTATAAACTCGGCAAGTGATTCTGCAGTGCGTGGCCCTTCAAACCTACAGCAATTATCAAAAATCAAGTATGAGTCTGAGATGCCAAAAAATAGACGTGAGAATGCAGGGTAACAAACTATGAGCTGAGATACAAAATATTATTAATACTATTTTTTAAAAAGCTAAGGTTTTCTCACTTTTTGGGTTCCAGAGATCCTTTTGGAAACCACTGAATGGTTGGGTACCCAGAGACTCCATATTTGGTGCACACACTCTTATGCTCATCACAGTCCACCTATAGCACATTAATACATAAGCTTTATCATATGTGAAACAAACTAATTAAATTATCAATGAGAAAGAACAAAAAGAAACCACAAAATTCAAAGCACAATCATTATGGGGAAAATTTGCGAATAAAACGTTCCAAGAATGAATGATCCCTCTCATCCCTCCTCTACTTCAAAAATTACTATCATAATATACATTTATACGGAGGGGGGAAGGGGATATCATTTTGAAATCTGAATATGTAAAGAGTTCAGCCGTGGAGAAAAATAACCCTAAGTGGTTACATGAAAAATATCAAAATTGTCTTAAACTTCCCGGGTATGAAAGACAGGTATACAACACCAATATGCTCCATAGTAAGAACAGAATTACCATACACAAACAATCATGAACAGATAAAATTTCCTGATGCTTGAAAGATAGTTAATTTTGTTTAATAAGGTAACAGACAAGTTTAACTACAAACAATAATCAAAGGTATAAACGCAACAGAAAACCAGGGGGCTGACCTTGGCAATCAAAACAGATTTAGATTTCTTGAAGGTGTTACCGAGCTTCTCATATTCTGGAGCTAGCTTTTTGCAGTGTCCACACCTATTATTACAAACAAAGCAAAACACTAATATAAGTTAACTGTGCATCTCGTCATAACATTCTCTCCCTACAGTAATGGGTCCCGTTACTTGATTTGTGAAACCGTGTGCTCGAAGCAAAATAAGATTACTTGCACAAAGAAAGTGACCAAACATATATTAAAACTTAGAAAGAAAAAAGCACAGAACGTTGCAGGAGTTCCTGGAAGTCAGTCCATCTTTTGTCTATAGTCGGGCAATCAATCCATCTTTTGTCTCGGACACAAAATGGTACGTTACAAAGGGAAATTACTTAGTTGAAGTTTGAAAACCTGGAATTATTAATTAAAATTCTACTTCCTACTTACAATACTTTATGAGTAAGGTGTTAGGGAGGATTAGTGCTTCACTTCTTTAATTAAAATTCTGCTTCCTACTTACATAGCTTTATGAGTGTGGTATTCGGGAGGAGTAGCGCTTAACTTCTTTAGATTAGTACAGTTAATTAGAGGTTTTATCTAGTTTCTATTCACCTCCTCTTTCGGAGGATATGATCTCCTCTTCCCTATATTTTTCATTCACTCTATTAATGAAAAAATCCTTTAGTTATTTTTTTTAGTTTTCATCACCAGTATTCGGTCCGACTAATTTTGTTCGGGGTTAGTTCTGACATCGAATAGTTCCATAGTTCCAACCTCTCCCGATTGCAATTGTGGAGATCGAACCGTGGTCCTTCTACGGTCTTTTAGTTATTATCTATCAAAAGAATATAAATCCAATAGCCTAGATTTTTCCTTCATTCTAATAAAAAATAATTTCATTTTTTATCTGTTAAAAAAAAAAGAGTATAAATTAAACTACCCAAATTCAACCCAAAAAATATCACATTGAGACACATAATCTTAACGATAAACCATGGAGTTGCTGATTAGTTATCAGCCTATTTATTTTATACAGATCAGAGCAAGGAGGCTTAGTATATAATAACAAGATTATCTTTTGCTTACAACTTCTATAAAAGTTTTATTTAGTTTTGTCTTGTGTCTCATTTACTCTATCGATGTTCACAAAGATGACAAGTCATCTCTCATAACTTATAGTGAACTCAAAGAATCATAAGGCCTGCTTGAATTGGCTTATTTGAGTTTGAACTTATTTGAGCTTATAGGAGATTTTATCAAACAAAATATGACATTTTTTATATATTTTTTTGAATTTATTCTTATAAATTCTTCAAAATAACTAATGAAACAGCTTATAATGTATTTTATCTTTTGTTATTCATAAACAGTTATTTTAATAAGCACTATAAAATGCAAATAAGTTGTTTATCCAAACAAGGCCCTAATCTCCTTAATTTAATGAGGTAAACATATTAACTAGTGAGACTAAATTGACCTAATTAACAAACTAAAGGATAATGATTTAAACTGAATTACATCAGAATCTAAACGGCATCGTATCATCCACAACAAGTCATAACAATAGATCAACAGATAACAAAACTACAAACTGAACCGATTAAAGCAAAGAACCTATCGGATCGAAACAGAACAGGAAATTAATAAGATCAGATTCAGCTGAAAATTTAAAAAAAGCGATTCGAATCAAGAATCCTACACTAATGATTTGAACTGCGTGAAAAACTATACTAGATCGTAATGGAAGCGATAGTGGATAGAAATGAAGAAGGATCGAGAAGGTTGGTGAAAATTACCAAGGGGCGTAGAACTCAACGAGAGCTCCTTTGTCTTGACCAACTTCCTTCTCGAAATTCTCTTCAGAGAGCACAACGACGTCGTCTGCGGAGACCGATTGGGAGAGAAGCGCAAACGCGAACGCTGCGAAAGCTATACTTCTCCAGATCTGATTCTTCTCCATTTTCGTCTTCTTCTTCTTTCTCAGTTCTTTTTTTCTTTCGGTTTCTGCTTAACTGCTACTGCACGTGACTCGTTATATAGGAAGAAAAATACATGTTTCAATTCCATCAATTATTATTAAAATAAATAAAATTATGGGGTACGGTTTCGTTCCTTTGTTTGGGTCACGTGGCATGGCTTCGCTTTTCAGCAAAGTGATCGCACTTGTTCTACTAGAACAATTAGACTTTGCTTCGTACCTAATGACGCTTATTTGATAACGTGGCATGATATAAGAGGTGCTCACGGAGGACGGATACATGATATTCAAGCCACGTGTTTTGTATGAATTTTCATATAAACAAAATCATTTTAATTAATATTAAAGAAAGACATTGATTAGCAAACAATGTCAATATAATTTTTATTCGTTAATTTGTGCTTTAAGGTACATATTAAAAATTTCATAAATAAAAAATTTAAGTAAAATATTCTTTTTAGGTCTCTAATTTTATTTTGGAGTCTAATATGATTTTCTAATTTTTAAAATGTTCAAATTAATCATTTAACTATTAAAATAATGTCACGTTAGTTCTTCCGTCTAAGTCTGTTAGTCAAAGTAAAAATATATATGTTCACGTGACATTATAATGTGTTGATGTGGATTTACCTTGAATAAAGAAAATTCAGTCATTGCGCATCTCATGAAAAACTTGTACAGAACACCTGAACTCAAACCATTACAAAGTTAAAAGCCAAAGACATTCATGGTAAAGCAAACAAAGTTCAAGCATGTATTTCTCAGAAAGTATACAAACAACATAGATTCTTAACATTTTGAAGCATATATGGTGATATATATAACAAAGGCATTCTGGCATGAATCTTAGATTGGCGGCTTCACCCTATATTAAAAGTGTGAGATATTGGATCGAACTCTAGTATGTTATCGAAATAATGCGTGTTGTAGTCGAAATTTGTTCTAGCATGCATTAGTTAATATTGCTAGGTTTGTTAGCATGTTGAATTGGGTCTTACTTGTAAACCCAATTGTTTAAGTTAGTTTGTATCCTAAGTTAGCTTGTAAAGGATAATTGTTAAAAAGCCAATTAGGTTAGTGTCCTAGTTTTCTTATAAATAACATGCTAGCCTCTCATTTTGTATAAGGAAAAATAGGAAGATAAAATCCTAATTCAAGAGAGAGAGGTTATTTGTTATTCTTGTATACTTGTAATCTTGATTGATAGATAAAGTAAAGAATATCAGTTTATAACCAATCCTTGTTGTTTCTTCTTGTTCTTCTTACTTGTTTTCTTTGTTAACCCCCCTAACCCTTGTGTGTTTCTTGAATATAAAGAAATCGTTTATATTTTGTTTCAAGGCATTCTATTCATAACAAATTGGTGCGGTGGGCGTGGAGAAGATGTCTTCAACAAAGTATGAGATTGAAAAGTTCACCGGAGTGAACGACTTCGGTCTGTGGCGCTTGATGATGAAAGCTCTACGGTTCAGCAGGGTTGTTTGGAAGCGTTGAAGGAAAAGGCAACCATGGACGTTGCGTTAACGACAAAAGAAAATACGACCATGATTAAGAAAGCTCACAGCGCAATATTGTTGAGCTTTGGTGATAAGGTTCTTCGACAGGTCTAAAAGGATACTACAACATCGGGATTATGGGTGAAACTTGAAATTTGTACATGACCAAATCTCTGGTGAATCGACTCTACCTAAAGCAAGCTTTGTATTCATTCAAGATGAGTGAAGACAAACTGTTGGCTGTAACACCCTTTTCTACCCCATAAATATAATGGCAAATCAATCATATTTATCAGAGTAAAATATTGAATGCGATAAAATCATCTCAAAAGAGCGCACATTTCTCAATAATTCAAATATAGTCAATGCTCCGTAAACAACGGGTTTTCCCAAAATTACTCAAAATATTACTCAAAAGGCAGCGAAACTCAAAAAGGCAAAAATCCAAAGTTTTCCTTGCGCAGTAACTTAATCAAAATAACAATAATCAATAAAACATGGTTCAACTCAAAAGACCCCAATCCAATATTACACTATCAGAGCAATACCCTTTAAGTCAACCACAATGGCCAACGACCCAAAAACTTCAAAAAGTCCTCGACGGCATCCACGACTAAACATGGTCATCTGCACGTTACCCACGTGGAGGCAACATTCAAACAGGCAGGGTGAGTAAAATGATTCATAATAATCAATATATGAATAAATATATAAAACAACGTCATTTTCATATTCAACATCATCATAATCATCAAGGAACATCAAAGGCCACAACATTATAAATTACACCAAATTATCACATAAATGAAAATTCAACAAGACTCATGCATGTGGTGGTACCAATCAACAAAATTCGATGGACATTGAGCCATCAACCTTCCATAGATCCACAACGGTAGGATCGATTCTACACGAGAACCGGAGCACAACAAAATACCTCATATTCGTACAATGGGACTGAAGCCACAAGAATCAAGGTCCTAGACCGAAGTCCGAAATGCATATGAATGCATGATGCACACGTATAACCCTCATAATAAACTCATTAGGTGCATCATCATTCATCAAAATCATCATAATAATCATGTCATCATAGAATCATCAAAACTCATGAAATCAAAATCATAACTCATCATCATTACTCATAGTAATCATCATAAAATCATGTATTAATCTCAGAAGATTCATAGTCATACTCATGGTAATTCATCAAAGCAATCACAACATTAAAACATCAAGACATCACTGCACAAGATCAGAATTCGTGAAACTCTGCTACATTCGCTAGCAAGTTTGTTGTGTGAGTCTGGGGAAAATGTTCGTCGTGCAAAGAATTCTTCGTTGTGCGAACTCGCAATTACAGCAAATCGTTGTTACGCAGCAGTAGCAAAACCTGCTCAAAAGTCCATACGATTTCCTTCCCCAATGCCCTAAAAACATCGCTAAATCATTCCTAAGGTATTACGGCGATAAAGGCACAAAATCTACGACTTATTAGGCCAATCTTGTATCCTATTTACGCCTCTAATTCCCATAATTTCTTACAAATACCCCACAGTCATTAAAGTTCTCACAATCACTTACCCTATACGGTTAAACAACCTTAACAACAGATTTTGGTCATGAAGGCCTAATTTCCCTTACTCCCAAATCAGCCTCAAACCTACCATCAGTTCAAATCCATGAAACTCATTAAACTCACCAGAAAGGCAACAACAATTCAATACTCAAAATCCCTAAACCCTTAAATCATCTTTAAACACATTGAATCACATATTGAAAACAATGAAGGCAATACTCCCCATACTTAAATAATCTCAAAAACAGATTTGGCCGCGAAGGCCTAATTTTCCTCAAACTCAAAAACCTCTTAAACCTTTAAATCGACTTTAAATACATTGAATCACATATTAAAAACAATGAAGGCAATACTCCTCATACCTTAATTGTCGACTCTAAGTCTTTCTCCTTGATTCTTGGAAACCTCGTGAAGCTTTGCCTCAATCCTCTTCCTCAGAGCTCTGGCCTCTATTTCTTCCCTTTTCACGGTCTAACAAGAATGAATTCTAATTCCCTCAAAATTCCTTTTTGTTAAGCCTAACTTTGGGGCCTTTAAAATGGGATTTCCAATTTCACCCTCACTAACTCCTCCTCAAATGTCCACTTTGCCCTTAATTCACTTATATTTATTTAAATTAATAATAATACCAATATATTCATATTATATACTATTATTTAAATAAATAACTCAAAATCCATAATTCTGAATATTCACACCAACCACCGAAAATCACCAAAAATACGAATATTCATATTTAAATAAATTAAATAAATATTCCAATGAATTTGAGGTGTTACATTGGCTGAGCAGCTGGATATGTTCAACAAGCTAATTCTTGATCTTGAAAATATTGATGTGAAGATCGAACTCGAATAGAAGGAATCTCGACTTCTACTGGGAGTATGGCTTCCATACCGTAAATAAGTGAAAAAGGAGTTGCCCCTGTTGGTGTGAATACCGAGGTACGATACCCGTGTAAAGCAAAAGGGAGAATTTCATGTCAGTCCTTGTAGGTAACCACCATTTTCTGAATAATCCTCTTTATGTTCTTATTAGCAACTTCAACAGCCCCATGCATCTTCGGTCGGTAAGTAAAAGAGTTATGATGCTCAATCTTGAATTCTTCACATAGCTCTTTCATCATTCGGTTATTCAAGTTGGACCCATTATCAATTATGATTTTACTTGGCACACCATATCTGCAGATGAGTTGGTTCTTGATAAATTTGACGAACACCTGTCTGGTAACATTCGCATAGGAGGCGACTTCGACTCATTTGGTGAAGTAATCAATTGCTACCAAAATAAAGCAATGTCCATTAGACGCTTTCGGCTCTATCATACCAATCATATTAATTCCCCACATGGCGAACGACCAGGGTGATGAAATAACATTAAGGAGAGTTTGTGGTACATGAATTTTGTCAGCATAGATTTGACACTTATGACACTTCTTAGCAAACTTGTAATTGTCAGATTCCATCGTTATCCAATAGTAACATGCTCTTAAAAGTTTCTTTGCCATAGCATGTTCATTGGCATGAGTGCCAAAATATCCTTCGTGAATTTCAGTCATTAACATGTTTGTTTCTCGCTTGTCCATGCATCTTAGCAAAACCATGTCAAAATTCCTCTTATAAAGTACATCATTGCTCAGGAGAAAATTACCAGTCAATCTTCTCGATGTCTTCTTATCTTTATTAGATGCCCCATATGGGTATTCTTGTTTTCGGAGAAACAATTTGATATCATGATACCAGGGTTTATCATCATCAACCTCTTCTATTGCAAATATATAAGCAGGTCTGTCGAGACGCATAACGTCAATCTTGGGACAATCATTTCATTGGTTCACCACAATCATAGAAGTCAAAGTTGCCAAAGCATCGACTATTCTATTATCGTCACGAGGAATGTGATGGAAT